TGTGGAGCCGAGCAAACTGAAGCTGTGAACAATCTCAATCTCTTCGTCATCCATCCTGATGCTGCCAATTGGTCCAGTGGTGTTAAGTATTTATTTTCTGAGCTCTTTTACATTCATGCAGATGCTGGCTTAAGCAAGTCATCAGAAAGTCTGACAAGGCTGGATGTCCAAGACGGTGAGCCTTACTTGGCTGTTCACTGATTCTGTCTTTTGTCTGGAAGCACAATTGGGCACTTGACTGTAGTATCCACCTATGACCTCCCAAATGTGATAATGGTCTTCTAATAGTTGTAATGTGCTGTCGAGTTGCCTGTGACTCATAGTGACCCTATTTCCAATGGCTCTGAAGCCTGCCCTATCTTGAGCCAATCTCACTGTCTCTGACACACCTGCTCCTCTTATCCAAGTCACTGTGTCAATCCATCTCATCTTGGGCCTTCTTCTAAGGTGTTGTCCCTCCACCCTTCCAAGCATGATGTCCTTCTCCAAGGTCTAGTTCTTTCTGGCAACATGCCCAAATTATGTGAGATGCAGCTTCAAAATTCTTGCCTCCAGAGAGCAATGTAGTTTTACCCTCTCCAGGATGGATCTGTTTGTTCTCTTGGGGGTCTATGGTATGTTCAATATTCTTCTCTAGTACCACATCTCAAAGGCATAAATTCTTCTTCTGCCATGCTTATTCATTGCCCACCTCTCTAACAAACAGCAAATAATTGCAAAGACCATGGCCTGGATCAGGTGCACTTTGCACTTCAGCTCTCTGGTCCCAGACAGCAGACTTTCCAATAGGGATGCTGAATTCTGAGAAGAAACTGGAGAGTAAGAATTCTGAGACCAAGGCAGAAGCTGCAAGTCTTCTTATCTAGCATCAAGAGTCATTTAGTGTTAACACTACCACACTTTATTGGTTTTCCATGAGTCATTCAGGCCTGTTAAGCTTCAAATAATGAGGAATAATACCCCACCTCTCAATGAGAGAAGTGCCAAAGAATTTGCCTAAATCTATGAGTTCCTTTTGATATAGTGAATTCAGTATATTCTTGGCAAAGTCTGCAGTTAGGAACCTCTCCAAAGTACTGAAGAGCAATGGTGTCTCTCTGGAGACTAAGGTGCATCTGATACAGGCCATGGTCTTTGCTATCACTTATGCATCAGAGAGTTGTACAATAACTAAGGAGGATAGAAGGAGAATTGATGCCTTTGAGCTGTAGTGCTGGAGAAGAGTGCTGAGAGTACCATGGACTGCTAGGAAAACAAATAGATTCATCCGGGAAAGGGTTAAACCAGGTGGTTCCTTGGAGGCAAGGATTCTGAGGCTCCATCTAACATATTTTGGACATGTTGTAAGGAGAGACCGTTCCTTGGAGAGGGACATCATGCTAGGGAGGGTGGAGGGACAGCGCAGGAGGGGAAGGCCCTCTATGAGGTGGATTGATTCAGTGACTGGGGTAATTGGGATGGGAGTGTCAGAGATAGTGTGATTGGCACAGGGCAGAGCAGAGCTTAGGGCTGTTGTACATAGTGTCGCTATGAGTCACAAGTGACTCGCTGGTACATAACAACAACAATACATGAGTTAGTGAAGGGCCTAGTTTCCTCTGAAATTCAGGTAAAGAAAGGAGAAAGAAAAAGAATATAGACTCTAAAGTGTTCATGGGCGGAAAAAAAAGTATTTTTCCTTGCATTTATCCATTAAAATCCTGGAGGTGACAGGTGCAGAAATAAGGCATTTAAGGTGGAAAACTTCACCCTGTTTCCCCCGTACCCACAATGACTCAAAAGCATTGAATGGAAATGTTTGGGTGCTAGGTCTGGACAAGATGGGCACGAGATAGCCCCAGAGTTCTCTCCATATTTCAGCAAAACATGGGAGAATCAGGTTCTTCTAAGGCACAATTCTAAATTTGAAAGACCTGGTAGTAATGTGCCCAGGAAGTTATCTGTTAAAAATCATCACAAAAAGACTGGATGGAAATGAGCACGTCTTGGGTGTCTCCAGCATGACAGATTTTCTACAAAATGCCTTGGCTTCATACATCTGTGGAGTATGGACACAATCCTAGAGAACGTAAGAGTTGGTATGTGTGCTGAGGGAGGAAGATTAAGACTGTCTACAATTCAGTTGTGCTCCCTGGAAGAAAAGGGGCTGGAAATAGAAATGAAATGGAGTTGTAGAGGTATGAACAGCCCTCTGGTTGACATAAAGTGTCAAGCTTTGGTCTAACTAGTTGAAAGGCTAAAAATTCAAACAAAGCTAGAAGCACTTCACAAGAAGGCCTGGGGTTAGGTCCCAGACTTGAAAACTCTATGGAAAAATTCTACTGTGCACATACAGGGTATCAGGAGTAAGAATCAACTCAAAGTCAACCAATAACAAGAAATGTAAATAACGCCTTGCATTCTTGGGTTTATAACATAAAGTTCTCTTTTCAGAACAGACATTACTTACAATAAATTTCAATCATCAAGAAAATATTATCAAAATAAGTTATATAATAAATGCATGCTGCATTCCAAATAATCTGAGAACACATCTTATTTTATACTAAAAAAATCTGTTGAATTATTTACAATACTTTATGGAGTTCTGATGAACCAATCTCTAAATTTTAGAATCTTATGTGGCTTAGATATATTTTATGCTGCACAGGAAAATTGGCAATGTTTTGGTATATTTTCATAGCATAGTAGATTTGAGATGCAAGTGTCTAGATTAGTTGCCTGGTTAAAGAAAATGTCTCCATTTCATATTTCCCTTTACTCATTGCCAAGGAGTCAAAACTGACTTATAGTTGACCCTCCAGTGGGCTTTTGGAGGTTGTAAATTTCATAAAGGAGATTGCCCATCTTTCTCTCTTAGAGCCACTGGTGGGTTTGAAGCATCAGAGAAGTACCACCTTTGGTCTAGCAGCCAAACTCCCTATGGACTATGCCACCAGAACTCCCTTTATATCCTAATAGTCGGTTTATTTCCTGGAAGAGAATGAAGCTAGATTACAGGTGGATCTACTTTTGAAAACATGTATCACCCTTCTGGAATTGTTGTTATATACCTTCAGGTTGGAACCAACTCACAGCTAACCCACTAGCCTGTTTCCAGAGGCACATATCGCACAAGAGGAGCTTGC